CTAAACTCTGAAAAAATTAGGTCAAGAACCCATCTCCACTGCTTTCACAAGATACGCTTATCCCCAGCAAATCTGATGTCACCACAAGCAATGGGTCTGCATTGAAGGGAGGTCTGAGCCTTTAATCCTACCTAAGCCACAAGAGGTTGGTGCCTGGTGTTCCAACTCTCCCTAAGAAAATGGAGGCATAGCTAAGAGTGGAGCTTGGGACCTGACCCTAGCAGTGCTTTGTCTTACCTCTCCATTAAAAAAAGTTTGCCTTTACAGATGGTTATAGACCAATAGTCCCAAAACAAGCAATGCATCTCTGAATCAGTTGGCCCACCTTATATCCAGGTGCTGATCAAACCTTGAGGTAGAGTTTAGTTCACTCCAAGGCCAGAGATCCAGTGATAGGCCAGTAGCAGTCCAAGTAAAAATCCAGCAAAGCTATACAGATATATTAGAAATGGAAATTTTCAGACCGAAACTAAATTTGTCAGGCCAAAACCGAAATTTTTTTAAACCTTTTTTAAAAATCATTTTTATTTTTTACCCTAATAATACGTACTACAGCTAGTTATATCATAGGGGGGAAACAAGGGCATAGAACTGGAAACTCAAAAAACAGTCTACAAGAACCCTTGATTAAGGAGATCAAAAAAAAAAAAAAAAAAGTTAGGTGAAATTATCTTTTATTAGTGAAACCCAGGACCAAAACTGTGATGTCAAGGCTTAAATGATAGAAATATGAAAGTATAGCACACTTTTGGATAGCACTACACCAATATCCATGCAGTAAGTTACACATGTTCGTGCAATTGCATGACCTGACCATTTTTTCTCCTGTTCATCCTCTGGGCAGCAGAGACTGATTATGATGCAGTGATTATGCAACATATACAGCATTTCAAGTAATATCCTTGTAACCCTTTTCATAGTTTCATAGTATTTGAGGTTGAATAAAGACAGTCCATCAAGTCCAACCTATTAGGATCTCATTCTTATGAGTACTACTTGTCCCCCTGTATATTACGGTCCCTTAAGAGATCCTCCAAAAGTTTCTTGAACAATTCCACATTCTTTGCTGAAATCACCGCCTGTGGCAGTATACTTTTACCACTTAAAAGTGCACTTATCCTTTCTGCCCCCACCCCTAACCTAATAGATCCCTCCCCCTCTGCAGATGTATACTTATCTATCCGATGCCCACGGCCTTTGAGCATTGCTTACATTGCACGCCACATATCCTCTCTCTTTTGGCCACGCTTGCACAGTACAACCCCTATAGACTTTGAGCTTATCTATCTTCACCACCCAGCTGGGACACAAGACCCATAGACGTGACACAGCCAAGAGAGAAAGGCATGAGGTGAGGGAAGTCAACAAACAAGGCAAAAAAATAAAATAGGTGCACTTTGTCGAAATGTGCACTTATTCTTTAAATATGCTGCTGGGGCACAACACAATTTTTAAAAGAAGCAGAGGGCATACACAGCATTTTAAGACTTGAGACCTGTTGACAACACTGTAGGAATTACTAAATCTCATCTGGTGGTACTGTCAGCCCTCTGGAGGAATTAAGCCACAGAAATATTGGCAGGATCTACAGGAGGCAAAATAAAGCATTCTGAACTTGAACAAATCTAAACAGGGAACTACTAATGGTTCAATATGTTCTAAAGGGAAATTATTTTTGCATGGAGATGCACTTTAATGTCTGGGAGGCATATTAATGTTATATAGGGGTATACCAATAGAACGTGGTATAAAAAGGAGAGGAAGGTCACAACGGGTAGACACATTAAAATGGCACTAAACTCTTAAATCTGATAAAAGCATTAAAGTACATGTGACGGACCCCCGTACTCAGGATGAGTATGTCCGCCGCTGTCTTCTTCCTTGCTGAGGAGATATTGGAACCCGCTGATCTGTAGCTCCCAGTTTCCCCAGTCACTAGCCAAGGCTCGAGTGTAGGTGAAACAAACTCTGCTTTATTGAACAACTGCACAAACTTTTATACAGAAAGTGATCAGATCAGAATATAATCCCATCACATCCCCCGTCCCCTCCCTGGACATTCTGTCTTCATAACACCACAGGTGTCCACCTGCTAACGAGCTCCAGACAGCCATAGCAGTAGCCTGGCCAGAATGTCATTGTTCTGAGCTCCCTCAGAGAACAATGGGAGATAACGAGGGATGGTGCTGATAGTCTTTCCATAACCAGGTCACACAGCATAACGCACTCAAACATAACTCAACCCCAATACACATTTACCTCATAAACTCATCACCATGTCGTCACAGTACCCCATTACCAAAAACATAGCTTATCTATGTATCAGTTGGCTGTAGATCCTCAAATAATCTCTAAACTCATGCTGACAATGTCCTTGCTTCTGGAGGGTGGCTACTTTTGCTCCCCATGGTCCCTGTGTGTTGTAAAGTAGCCACAGTGCCAAGCTTGCTCTTGTGATAGACTATAACTTCAATACAAATTCGTAACTAAATGTGAGATTGCAGTCCATCGCAGGGGGCAAGCTTGGACCGGTGGCTACTTTACAATACACACACAGGTACTATGGGGAACAAAAGTAGCTACCCTCCAGAAGGAAGAAGGACAGTGTGCACAGGAATTTAAAGATGATTTGGCCCAGTGTGGCGGGACCATGAGACATTTGTGCATAAACAAATGCCCGCAGACCTTAATGAAGGTAAGCAATGCTGTGAAGAGTGGGCTAAAATCCCTTTACAACGATGAGAGAATGAAAGTCCTGCAGAAAATGATTGCTTCAAGTTACTGCTGCTAAAAGGTGTCATAAGGTATACTTAGTTTTTCACACAACGTCTACATTTTGGCTTTATGTTTGTAAAATAATTAATGACAGTGTAATTTGCCATGTGTTGTTCATCTGAGGTTGTATTTACCGAAAACCTGCTGAGGACCAGATGATTTTGTCCCGATACTTAAAACCATAGAATTCAAAGATGGTGTACTTTCTTTTTCACACAGCTATACCCGATATCAATCAATCTCAGATGTAGGGACACACTACAACATTTAACAGGTGCCAGAAGGACCCCCGTTTAAAGGTTTCCCCTCTTTACTCACTTTTATTTATTCATCTAACTTCAGTTCTTATATACCACAAAATTCAACAATGTTTAAGAAAAAAAACAAGAGAGCATTCTGTACCACAATGATTAACATATCCTTAATCTAATTGAATATTGAGCCTGCACACCTTACAGATAAAAAATAAAAAAAAAAACAGTTAAAATTTTACAAATCTAAATATGAGTACCCAAGGAGGAAAAAAAAAATTCTTACCAGCAGGGAGTTCTCTGAAACGCAGGTACTCCATGGACCGCGTAGTAACCAAAGGTTTTTGAGGGTAATACAGCACATGTGCTAAAGTATCCATGCGAACATGAAAATTGGTAATATAGACACCCATAGCTTGTTTTCCCATAGCAGACTGGTAGGTGTTCCTAGGAGACTAAGAAAAAAAAATAAAAAATGAATAAATAGATAGGGTTTTTTATTCACCTTAAAATCCTTTTCTTGGAGTCCATTGAGGAACACAAATTCTTAGAATGTCAGGTTATACTGTAATCGTAAAAATGTCACGATACTAAAAGTCAATACCAGGTGTTGGAGCTGATAAAATTAATATCTACAGTATGTAACAGCTTTTATATAATGGTATTACCTATCTCAACAATCTGCATGTGGCTTTGTGATAAGCAAATGAGGATAATCAAACAGTCCTTAGAGAAGGGACACTAAAGGTTGAATGGATGCCTGAGGGTCATTATCCCCTGGGACAATCCAGACTCCCTGCTGGTATTTACTGCCCAATCCTGTTTGAATGGCAGCATGGGTGCTGGGAGCTTCCTGTGTAATCATCTGCACAAACCCACAAGCTGGGACAGTGGTAACCTTTCATTACCTTTTGGACCAGTCTTTCTGGACTTTACAATCAAGAATGTGATTTGGCCTGGTTCACACCTAGGAGTTTTTGAGCAATTCGAAAAGCGCTTTTCAATGCCCAACATACGCTTTTCAATGGCCCTGGTTCACACCGGAGCAGAAAAATGCAAGCAGGAAAACGCCAAATGCCCAAAAAGATACATGAGCTTCTTTGGGCAGTTAAAAGCGCTTTTTTACCCTATAGACTTCATTTGAAATGCCCAAAAACCAGCGGCAGAAGCATTTTTGCACGTTTATACACGCATTCTTCCATTGCCCGGAATGTTTTATGAGCTGCTGGTCAAAACATGCATCTTCATGTATGCACATAAAAAATGTGCACAATGCGCAAAGAACCGCATGCTAACGCGCTTACAAACCCAACGCTTAAAAGCGGTGCCGCCTAGGTGTCAATCAGGCCTTAGGGGAGGAACCTGTAATCATCAATGGACTCCAAGAAAATATGTATTTTTCTATGTAATGGTACTTTAAGGATCGATTTTGTGGAAGGCACACTAAGATCTGCGCATGCTTCTTGCTCCGTACAACTTCATGCAGTTTGCATTACCTGGTCTTGTTTTTATATTTAAAGTGACATTAACCCTTTCGCTGCCCGGCCCTGCTAAAAGCTTTTAACCTCAGCTTGCCACACCATTTTTGCAATTTTTCAACTTTTTTTTTTTTCTTTTCCAACTGCAGCTTTTAGAGTTTGTAAAAAAAAAAAAATAATTTTTTTCTGAAAGCGCAGGCCTGGTAGAATAAAAAGATGGTGATACTAAATTTGTAGGCCGTGCGATAATTGTGCAAATGTTTCTCAAATTAATATTAAACCGATAAAAATACACAATTCAATTGATAAAACACTAAAATCACTATCCGCGCACAAAAAAAAAAAAAATTTCTGACTAAATCTAAAAGA